CCTGTGACCTGCAGGCCCTGCAAGATCCCCGGGCAAGATGCCGGAGCATGCTGGAAGCTGGAATGTGGACTCAGTGACTTTTGAGGATGTGGCTGTGACCTTCACCCAGAAGGAGTGGGCGTTGCTGGATTTTTCCCAGAAGAAACTCTTATAGAGATGTGACACAGGAAACCTTCAGGAATTTGGCTTCTACAGGAAACAAATGGGAAGACCAGAATGTTGACGATCCAGTCAGAAAATATGGGAGAAATGTAAGTCATATGGTAGAGAGACTGTGTGAAGGTAAACAAAATAGTCAATGTGGAGATACCTTCAGCCAGAATTCAAATCTTAATCTGAACAAGAAAGTTTCTACTGAAGTAAAATCATGTGTATGCAGAATGTGTGAAAAAGTCTTCATATGTCATACATCTCTACATAGGTATATTGTGTCTCACAGGTATATTGTATCTCACTCTGGACACAAACTATTTGAGTGTGAGGACTGTGAAATGAAGCCATATAAATGTAAACAATGTGGGAAAGCCTTTCTCTCACAGGTGTTTGAAGACACATGGTAATGCACAGTGATAATGGATTTTATAAATGTACAGTATGTGGGGAAAACTTTATTTTCCCCAGTTTATTTAAAATGCACCAGAAAACTCACACTGGAGAAAAAAAATCCTATAAATGTAAACATTGTGGTAAAGACTTCAATTATTCCAGAAACGTCATGAACATGAAAGAACTCATAGAGGAGAGAAACCCTATACAAGCAAGAAATGTGATAAATTATTAACTTCTTCCTATGTCCTTCAACAACATGAAATGATTCATACTGGAGAGAAACCTATAGATGCAGAGAATGTGGTAAAGCCTTTACAACTTCCAGTTTCCTTCGTAAGCATACAAAGGCTCACAGTGGAGAAAAGCCTTGGGAATGTCAAAAATGTGGTAAATCATTCACACTTTCCAGTTCCCTTTGATGACATGAAAGAACTCAAACTGAAGAGAAACCCTTGGATATAAGTAAAGTGGTAAAGCCTTCACTTCTCCCAGATCCTTTCAACAGCATGAAAGAAGTCATATTGGAAAAAAACCATGTGAATGGAAGAAATGTGGTAAAGACTTCAGATGTTCTAGTTTTATTAGAACAAATGAAAAAACACATAGTGGGATTGTGAGGAATACTGGAAAACATGCAATTTTCCCAGTTCCCTTTGAAAACTAAGAAAAACTCATACTGGGAGAAAAATGAATGTAAAAAAACTGGCAAAGTCCTCAGTTTTCCCAGTTTCTTTCAAGGACATAAAAGGGTTCCCAATAGAGAAAAGCCCTATAATTCTTAGAAATGTGGCAAAGCCTTCAGTTCTTCCATTTTTCTTTGAAATATGTAAGAAGTCAGTGGAGATAAGCCTTATAAATTTAAATGTGTGGTAATTTCTTTAGTTCATAAGTTTCATTTGATATTTGAACTCATTTTTTAAAAATTCCTATAAATGTACAGAGTGTGAGAGTACCTTCATTTGTCTAATTGTCTAACACATGTTCAAGACACATGGTAACAAACTGTAGATGGACCTTATAAATGTGAGAGGACTCTGGATTGGAAGCACAGCAGTGTAGAAAATACAGAAATGTTTTTAAATTTAACAATTACTTCAAAAGTTTTGTAAAACTCTCACTAGGAAGAAATTCTATAAAAGTTGGTAAACTGGAAAGCCTGATGTAAATTAATGCTCAGAAATGCACATAAGTGGAATGTTATTCTCATTGTAAATATTTTGCTTATCAGTGGTTCATTGCTAAAGAGGGTCTCTGTACTTTTGATTTCTACTTCTGCAAGAAAACCTCAATGTGAAAATTCTGTAGATACTCTTTCAGCAATGCTACATGAGTTTAATAGGTAGTGGATTTTTAAAAAATTAAATTAGTAAAATTCTTCTCTCTTAAGTGTGTTGGATCTCTGGGTAAATTAAAATGTATTCCTATATGAAGGTAATTTTAATTTTTATGTAATTTTTAAAGTTCTCTGATTAATGGGCCATTGAAAAATGTGGTTTTGTTAACATTTGGAATTTTCTCACTGGCCTCATCTGGCAAGTTTTGCTTATCTGTATATGTTTTCTACATTATATAGGAAAATTACTCTTTTTTGGTGTAATAATATTTGTTGTATTTTCCTTTTTAATGAAGAGTTGTTATCAAAAAATTTTTCTTCTTTTTGACTCTCAAAAACTGTTTTTAGCTACCAATTTTATCTAATTTGTTATCAAAACTACCTTTAATAAATATTCTCTCCCCATCTTTATATTCATTTTGCTTTTATTAAAGATTCCTTTAAAAGCCTCTCTTCTGCCATTTTCAGACTGGTTTTATGTTCCTCTTTCTGTATCTGTCTTGCTGTCTATAAAGAAAAGTTATGCCATTGTTTCAAAACTTAAAATATGTTCCCTTAGATTTGCCATTGCTGAAAAGTCTAAGGCGGAGGATGGAGAAGTAACAAGAGTAGGAGGAAGAGGAGGAAGAGATACACTTTCCTTAGAGAAATCTCTGGCATACATGTCAAAATGCGGGAACGCTGATTAGTTAGAACCAAAGTGCTAATGAGTATAAAGACTACAGATGAAGCACTGTTAAGTGTCTCTTTGTATCTTTTTTTAAAAAGACAGGTCTCTATAGCTAACTGAAGCCTTGAACTCTTAGGCTCAAGCAGTCCTCCCACCTCAGCAACCCCAGTAGCTGGGACAACAGGCATGAGCCACCACATCCGGCTCCCTTTTTGTACTTTTAAAGACTCATAAGCAGGGCATAAGCAGAGATAAAAAGTAGTCACGGCACTAATTGCCAACTATTTCTACCCCTTCTAGTCACATGGTAGATTTTAACTTGGCCCCACTGTAGTAGACAGGGACAGACGGGGACATGTAATCACAGTTCTGGCCAATGAGTTCAGAATGAAAATGACATGTGTCATGTAGCATGACCAGACAAGACAAGAACATTAAATTGCCAATTTGACATCTTTCAAAACTTTTTCTCTCACACTTGGTGACTACAAAGGCTAAAATGCTGGCTGCTCTGTTAGCCTGGGACCTTTAGTGACTATGATGAGTAGAGGCTCTCTGCTTACCCACAATAGACAGACAACATGAAAAAGAAGTAAATCTTTTGTTATTCTAATTCCCTTGTTTGTTACTGATGCATAATTTATTCCTCCTGTCTAACTGAAATTTTGTATATTTAACCAACATTTTCCCAATCTCCAACTCCCAGGATGTATTCTGATTTCAATAAAATATTATATCACTATATAGAACATACAAAAAGTGCTACCACATAGTATATATAAATGTTCTCTTGGTTATCAATTCTTCACCATCATCTAATGGTATGGGGGCTATACTACCCTGGAAACCCTGAAAAATCTATAAAAATAATTTAGTAATGAAATTTCGCAATCAAGTTGCAGGAAGTAGAAATTATTTACAAATTGGTCAGGCTAAGTTGAAAATGAAAATGGAAATCTTGAGGAGATTTGGGAGATTTAAAAAAGAGGTCTGATTGAGAGTGATGATACAATTCTTTGTAATCTGTGCCCACAGGTAAGAACAGTATGTGACTTTAAAATTCTTCTCTTTGAGCTCCGTACTGGTAATTAAGCTATTGTCACCAAGCTACCAACCCACTCTTCTATATTCTCTCTGCTTTGTGATGCTGGGACAGGCATCATGCAAACTTTCTTTTTCCAGCTGCCTCCCTTTTGGGCTCCCTAATAGAGGGTACTAGATGAAGCGTGGAAGAAAGAGAGCAAGGATTGGTTCACAATGCTCTTTTTCTGTATACTCATCAGCATCACACCAGCAAGAATTCTTAATTGTAGCAACGGCAGTTGGTTTCTGTCTTCAGCTTATTTTTGGCAATCCCAGGAGCCTCTTGACCGCTCAAGAGATATCAGCACCAGCTATGGAATGCTCCTTCCTCAGAGGTCTGAACCACAGTGCTGTAGGGCATCTTCTCCAAAGTCTAGATTCTGATAACTTCATTCTCTTCCCTTTGTTCCCATGACTGCAGGGAAAGCAGCTGTTTCCTAAAGTTAATGTCCTACCTTTGCTTTGTCAATTCTCTAATTTGTTTATCAATTTCCTTGTATTAGATCCTCTCTTTTAAAATATCTAGTTTGAGGAGGCTGGGTGCAGTGGTTCATGGGTATAATCCCAGTACTTTGGGAGGCTAAGGTGGGAGGACTACTTGAGCCTAGGAATTCAAGACTAGTCTGGGCAACATAGTGAGATCTCATGTCTAAAAATAAAAATAAAAATATTTAGTGTGGTTTCTGTTTTCCTTATGGGATCCTGATGACATAAACTCTACAATTAAAAATAAATGGACAAAGGCCGGGCACGGTGGCTCCCAGCACTTTGGGAGGCCAAGGCAGGTAGATCACGAAATCAGGAGATCGACACCATCCTGGTCAACATGGTGAAATTCCATCTCTACTAAAAATACAAAAATTAGCCGGGTGTGGTGGGGCACTCTTGTAATCCCAGCTACGCAGGAGGCTGAGGCAGGAAAACTGCTTGAACCTGGGAGGCGGAGGTTGCAGTGAACTGAGATCATGCCAGTGCACTCCGGCCTGGTGACAGCAAAACTCCATCTCAAATGGACAAAATACTGCTAAAAAGCATTTTCTAATTATAAAGTACGTTTTTAAAAAAAGAACTTTTCCTGAAAAACATTTATACTGTATTTGATGTTACTACGCCTTTAACATTTCTTATCAGATTATTAGTACTCAAAATTGTATTGCAAAATACAAGTTCAGGGTATATGTAATTATTCAGAAGTAGAATTTATCACTAATTCATTCCCTCCAACATATTTCTCTAGCTCAGAGTTAAACCTGTGGGTCTTATATACTTCTTTCCAATTGCTTTCATAGAGGAGACCTGCTTTGAAGAATCAGATATATTATGACACTCAGGTTTTAAATGAACATTATTATTTATAAGACATACCCTGAAATTCTATGTCTCCAATTCCGATATGGATCATATAAGCTTTCACAAAATGCCAATGCATGGATCACAAATTCTTCAACAGATGTCTGATCGGCCATTTCCTTCTCTTTTTTTTTGCTTTTTAACTGAGAACAAAGTTAAACATAAAATTAAAGACATGTCTTACTTATCATCTAACAATAAGTCATTTGTATTCAAATAAGCCAAACTTTCCCTTTGAGACTAAAAGAGTCATTTAATCATATGGACTGGATACAGCCTCTACGATTTTAAGCATGTCCTATGATAGGTTTAAAATAAATAGCCAAACATCTTTTGAAAAAGTAATGTTTACAGTAAGAAGGATATGTGATAAATAATACATAAAAATCACAAATTGTATCATTTTAAAAGCCATTAATAAAACACTTGAATTTTTAAATTAAATAACAGTATATATAATAACTACTTGTCTACATTTAGGTAATATGTACAAGATTTCTGAAATATATATTACCCAACAATAAGTTTAAGTCTCTTCTCAATTATTACCTCTTCTGAAAATATTTAACTATACTGACTATAATATTAAAAAAAAGTAGGCCGGGCTCGGTGGCTCACGCCTATAATCCCAGCACTCTGGGAGGCCGAGGCAGGCGGATCACCTGAGGTCAGGAGTTTGAGACCAGCCTAACCAACATGGAGAAACCCCGTCTCTACTAAAAATACAAAAGTTGGCCGGGCGCAGTGGTGCATGCCTGTAATCCCAGCTACTTGGGAGGCTGAGGCAGGAGACTCGTTTGAACCCGGGAGGTGGAGGCTGTGGTGAGCCGAGATCGGGCCATTGTACTCCAGCCTGGGCAACAAGAGTGAAACTTCATCTCAAACAAACAAACAAACAAACAAAAAGTTAAACCTAGTTGCTCTCAGTGAAGTGACAAAAATGATTAGTTCACACCTACTTGCTGAATATAGAGCGTTGTCATGGTGATGACATAATTAATGTACGAGCAAGTCCCAATTTCTTCCACATTTGATAGATTTCTGTGAGAAAAAGAGACTTTAATTTTTTACACATGAATGTTGAACAAAACATATGTTCGTGAATTCAGCTTGAATTATGAGAACACAAGTTGGCAAACAAAATGCAAATGACATTTATTAAAACATAAAATCAATATGGTTATATAACTGCTCTCCCACCAAGACTGTGAAATATACCTCAAGCACAATTTAACTACTATAGACAGAGAATGTTTAAAAAGTATATGCTGATTAGCCTCTATTTATTACTGAAAATTGGAAAATATCACAAAGTAGAAACAGAAAAGAAAAAATAAACACCAACATCTTGCAATCTCAAAATAAGAAACTATGTACATCTACATTATTTCCTTACAGATTTTTTGTCCCTATGCAGATTCTTAGTTTTCTTTTCCGTATATACTGTTGGCATTATAACACATGTGCAGTATAATCATCTTCACTTTGCTTTTTGAATTACAGTTCCCTTTTAAGGCTGTCATATTTCCTCAACTACATTAAAAGTCCTTGAAAAAGGGCTAACAGCATCTTTACTCACTCTAAGAGGGCACAGCATCATATTTTGTTTAAAGCAGTGGGTTTGTAAGTGCTTGGTGTTTAACTAAAATGTGGTCCCTCATTTTTATTCCATTTTTATAAGACTGAGGTAAAACATGATAATATTCATTATATCTAAAATCTTTTCCTTGACATAATAAAAAAGCAACATTCATTAATTTTGTTATGAGATATTGTGATCTTGTAAAACATTTTATGTCTTAAAATCCAGTAAATGCTAATTTTAGAAAAATTAACAGAATGAATAGACTTCTTCTTCTTTTTTAAGAGATGGGGTCTTGCTCCGCTGCCCAGGCTAGAGCGAAGTGGTACAATCATAGTGTTCTGCAGCATCAAACTCTTGGGCTCATGTAGTCCTCCCACCCCAACTTCCTGAGAAGCTGGGACTACAGGTATATGCCACTAGGCCTGGCTAACTTTTTAAATTTTTTGTTGAGATGAGGGTCTCACTTTGTTGCCCAGGCTGGTCTTGAACTCCCGGGTTCAAGCAATCCTCCTGCCTCAGCCTCCCAAAGGGCTGGGATTACAGGTGTCAGCCACCACACCCACCCAACCAACAGACTTCTTAATGTAAGAAGTCAGACTGGCATGACAACTTGGAGAAAACAGGGTAAGGCAGAGGCAAAATTGGAAGCTTCTGCAAGAATTCTGCTTCCAATAATAGTGGACTAAGATCAGTCCTCTCCCTGACAACAACTAGAAAACATGGACAAAACATTTTTTTAAAAATCTGTTTAAAGGCAGGGGAAAATTAATAAGGAAGTGAAAAACCACAGATCCAAGATATAGAACAAAGAAACACAGAAAGAGATGAGAGCTGCATTTAGATCCATTTTTGCACTAATACTTCTACCAGTCCTGACAGGGGTAGATGAAACAATAAGAAGCTGCTGATTGCATCTGACAGTCTCACAGTGCTCAAAAGGGACAAAAATTAGAATTCAGAGCCCGAAAATGACTGTCTCTAAGGCTGTGGCTTAAGATCCCAAAAGGCAACACTCAAGAAGTAAAGGTGAAATGAAAATAGATTAGTAGTCACAGAGACTAAGTCCAAGTCAGCTTAATCATTCACTGTATTAGAGGGATACTTTTTCAAAAACTAATGTGCATTAACTGAGAATAAAGACAGTAGTATCCCCAGCCTAAAAGTATCTCTACGATTTTTCAAAAATAATAACCAACACTTACTCAAAAATAACAACTCACATGAGAAGGCAACACAAGTTTGAAAATCAAAAGAAACAATACACAAAAGAAACAGACCTACAATATGAGCAAAAGTAAAAGAAAAAGAGGTTGGGTGTAGTGGTTCATGCCTGTCTGTAATCCCAACACTTTGAGAAGCTGAGGCAGGAGGATTGCATGAGCCCAGGAATTCGAGACTAGCCTGGGCAACATAGCAAGACAGTAATTTAAAAAAAAAATTTTTTTTTTTTTGAGACGGAGTCTCGCTCCGTCACCCAGGCTGGAGTGCCGTGGCGTGATCTCGGCTCACTGCAACCTCCGCCTCCTGGGTTAAAGCAATTCTCCCGCCTCAGCCTCCCAAGTAGCTGGGATTACAAGAGTGTGGCGCCATTTCTAGCTAATTTTTGTATTTTTAGTAGAGACGGGGTTTCACTATGTTGGCCAGGCTGGTCTGGAACTCCTGAACTCAAATGATCGGCTTGCCTCGGCCTCTCAAAGTGCTGGGATTACAGGCCTGAGCCACTGCGCCCAGCCAGCAGGACAATAATTTTTTTTTAAACAATTGGCCAGACATGGTGGTGTGCCTCCCAGCTACTCAGAAGGTTGAGGTGGGAGGATCACTTGAGCCAGGGAGATTGAGGCTGTAGTGAGCCATGATCATGTCAGTACACTCCAGCCTCGGTGATGGAGCAAGACTGTGTCTCAATTTTTTTAAAAAAGCATAATCCATGAAAGAAAAAAGTTAAGTCAAACTTCATTAAAATTAAAAGCTTCTGCTTTGCAAAACACTATTAAAAGAATAAAAAGACAAGTCACAGACTATCAAAAAATATTTACAAACCAGATACCTGCCAGACACAGTGGCTCATGCCTGTAATCTCAATATTTTGGGAGGGTGAGGTGGGAGGATCGCTTGAGCCCAGGAGTTACAGACCAGCCTGGGCAATATAGCGAGACCTCATCTCTACAAAAAATAAAAAATTAAAAAACATCAGCCAAGTATGGTGGCATGTACCTGTGGTCCCAATTACTTGGGGTGTGGGGTACTGAAGTAGGAGGATAACTTGAGGATGCAGTGAGCTATGATCACGCCACTGCACCTCAGGCAACAGAACTCATTGCACCTGGGCAACAGAGTAAAAACCTGTCTCAAAACCACAACGACAACTACAAAAAAAAAAAAAAAAAGAAAACCCAGATAACTGATAAAGGAATTACATCTCAAAACAGTCAAAGATGTCTTAAAACTTAATAAGAAAACAACCCAATTTTTAAAAATGAGCAAAAGATCTAAATAGACTCTTTACCAAAAAAGATACAAATGGTATATAGCCATATGAAAAGATGGTGAACATCTTTTGTCATTAGGAAATTGCAAATTAAAACAATGAGATACTACAAACACCTATTAAAACGACTAAAATCTAAAAGAACAGTATAATCCAGTATTGGAAACCATGGAGAGCAACAGGAACTCTCATTCATTGTTGGTGGGAATGCAAAATGGTATAGCCATTTTGGAAGACAATTTTGCACTGACAAAGCTAAACATAAGCTTACCATATGACACAGCAATTATATTCTTCAGTATTTACCTAAATGAGTTCAAAACTTACGTGTATGCAAAATCTGCACACAGATGTTTGTAGCAGCTTTATTCATGACTGCCAAAAACTGGAAGTAACCAAGATGTACTGCAACAGAGGAATGAATAAACAAACTGTGGTATGTCCATAAGTAGAGTATTATTCTGTGACAAAAAGAAATGGGCTATCAAGCTACAAAAAGACATGGAGGAGGGTCAGGTGCGGTGGCTCACGCCTACAGTCCCCGTTTGATCAAGGCAGAAGGATCGCTTGAGCCCTGGAGTTTGAGACCAGCTTGGGCAACATGGCGAAACTCCTTCTCTACAAAAAATACAAAATAATAATAATAACTGGGCATGGTAGCATGTACCTGTAGTCTCAGCTACTCAGAGGCTGAGGTGGAAAGATAATGAGACCGGGAGGTCAAGGATGCAAAGAGCCCTTACCAAGCCACTGCACTCCAGTGTAGTTGACAGAGTAAGACCTTGTCTAACAAACAAACAAACAAACAAGAAAAGTCATGCGGGACCCTTAAATGCATATTGCTAAGTGAAGGAAGCCAGTCTGAAAAGGCTACATTCTGTATGATTCTAATTATGACACTCCGGTGAAAGCAAAACTAAAGACACCATTAAAATATCAGTGGTTAAGCCTCATTCTAGATGAAAATGGGTACTGTTGATCATGGTGTCCAAAAAAGTTAATGTGGCTAAACTGAGACAGAGGCTATGCTTCCATCACAGTACACACATTGCAGTGGTGACAATGAGACCTGTAACATTTGGTACACTTATAAGAAAAAAAAAAAAAAAAATCAGTGGTTGCCAGAGGTTGGGGCGGGAAGGGGGGGGGTGGGGGGTGTGTGTATATGTGTGTGGGTGTGTAAGGAATGAATATGTGGAGCACAGGCCGTTTTTAGTGTAGGGAAACTATTCTATATGATCCTATAATGATGGATTATGTCAAATTTATATATGACAATATAAATTAGTCAAAACCCATGAAACTATGCAACACAAATAGTGAACCCTAATGTGCATATGGACCTTAGTTAATAATATATAAATACTGGTTCATCAGCTGTAATAAATGTATCATACTAATGTAAGATATTAATAATAGAGGAAACTGAGGGGTATGGGAAAGGAGTATGCGGGAATTCTAGATTTATATAAAAACAGCTCTAAAACATAAAGTGTATTAAAGTTTTTAAAAGGAGCTTTAAAAAAGTAAAGTGAGGTCTCTGGAAATAGAAATATGTTCTGTGACTGGTAGCTATTAAACATTAAATTTATAATTAGAAACTATCTCCTACCCAAAACATTTTTTTCAACCAAAAAAATGTGTTGAGCATTCCAGTGCTTCCCTCCATTACCAAAATCTAAATATAATGAATTTACAACAAATATCTGTAGGATTTTTGATTTCAGCAAAATTGTAGTAGGTAGCTAGCAGGAAAATATAGCAAATTATCAGAGATCAACTTATGTCTTACTACCTGAATAAACCCTTTTCCTTTAACCTTTTTTTTTTTTTTTTTTGAGAAGAGTCTCACTCTGTCACCCAGGCTGAAGTGCAATAGCACGATCTCGGCTCACTGAAACCTCTGCCTCCCAGGTTCAAGCAATTCTCCTGCCTCTCAGCCTCCTGAGTAGCTGGGATTTCAGGCACCCGCCACTACGCCTGGCTAATTTTTGTATTTTTTTGGAGAGACAGGGTTTCACCATGTTGGCTAAGCTGGTCTCAAACTCCTGACCTCAAGTGATACACCTCCTCGGCCTCCCAAAGTGCTGGGATTACAGGTGTGAGCCACCGTACCCGGCTGCATCCTTCAACCCTTATAATTCTTGTATTATGTTTCCAAATTTTAAGGATGAGGAAAAACACAAAAATAAAAACATGTCTAAGGCTCTGGGAGAGCCTAAATTAGGGGTGAAATGTTTTAGAAATTATTGCTCAGTCATTCCATAATTCCTGCAAAGGCAATGAGAAATTAAGCCAAAGGTGACTAAGAGGAAAATTCAGTCCCTATTCATCTACTAATTAATTATAAAATATTTATAAAACAAATAATGTATGTTATAGAAAGTGGCGCCCAAAAAGAAAATAGATTTAAAGATATAGAATGTGGCTTCCGAAATGAAGATAGGTTTCAAGAGGAATATGAACCAATAAACCAATGGTTCTTGAATTCTTATATGCAGATGCCCCTAAACCAATGGTTCTTGAATTCTTATATGCAGATGAATGTGGAATGCTTGAAAAATCCAGATTTTGAGCCCTTTTGAAACAGAATTTCCATAAGCAAGGCTCAAGCTCTATATTCTACTAAGCTTCCTTGTTGTTATTTATGCATACCAAAATGGAAGCACCACAGACCTAATTTATAAATGTGGGAAATATGATAACTTATAGGATAATTACACTTTATTTGGTAAAATGATAAAATGAAATATCTGATTTATTTTCACAAATAACAGAGAGTAATAAAAATACATATACATTTACAGGTGAGAACCATAAGAAAAATACTGGTATAGTAATTTCTTGCTGAAGAAAAGCTGTCATTGACTTTAATATAATTTTGTAAAATCTTGGATAATGTCGCTATAACTAGGTATAGTAACTAAAAGGACTTCTAACATACTAACAAACCATAAGCCTACTGCAAAAAGCGCACTTACTCTTTAAAGTTCCATATGAACTACAAACATCATTAATAAGAAATAAAATTAATTATTATTTTGGTAACGTAACAATTTTTTTTTTTTTTTTTTTGAGACAGAGTCTTGCTCTGTCGCCCAGGCTGGAGTGCAGTGGCCGGATCTCAGCTCACTGCAAGCTCTGCCTCCCGGGTTTACGCCATTCTCCTGCCTCAGCCTCCCGAGTAGCTGGGACTACAGGCGCCCGCCACCTCGCCCGGCTAGTTTTTTGTATTTTTTAGTAGAGACGGGGTTTCACCGTGTTAGCCAGGATGGTCTCGATCTCCTGACCTCATGATCCACCCATCTCGGCCTCCCAAAGTGCTGGGATTACAGGCTTGAGCCACCGCGCCTGGCCAATGTAACGATTATTTTAAAACAGATAATTAGCTTCTTTTTTCTTTTTTATTTACTTAATTTATTATACTTTAAATTCTGGGATATGTGTGCAGAATGTGCAGGTTTGTTACATAGGTATACATGTGCCATGGTGGTTTGCTACACCCATCAACCCATCATCTACATTAGATATTTCTCCTAATGTTATCCCTCCCCTAGCACCCCACCCACACACCTAAAGGCCCAGTGTGTGATGTTCCCCTCCTCGTCTCCATGTGTTCTCACTGTTCAACTCCCACCTATGAGTGAAAACTAGCTTATTTTTTCTACTAGATACCTGCAAAGAATAATGAAGAACTTGACAAGCAAAATTGACAAGGCTTGCTGTTGTTCCTCTAACCCATCTGCCATTTTCTGAACACACTGTAGCAGCTGGATCCTCAGAACCTGCAGAATATTATCAGGAAGCAGAGATATTCCTGGAGGCATATCATCTACCCTAAAACAGAAAGGGAAAAAAATAAGAAGCCTGTTGAAATATAAGAAGAAAATCTCTGGCATTTAAATGAACTTCATTTTCAGCCCAAATCCTAAAGAAGGTCTTTTATTCATTCCAGATACTCTGTGCTTTCTTGTCTGCAACACACCACCAGATGATTAGTAACTAGAAGATTATTAGAGCAGAGTGGTTTTTCTTATTTCAGAAGAGGCTTACTAAAGAGGGCAACAGAGAGACTATTTGATATCTTCAATTGTACTATTTTTAATGAAAATATTTAGAATAAATTAATTTATGTTCCACTTAGAAATACTATGTATACTAAATACTGTGTATAGCAGTGTGCATATCATTTCTAAAAGAAACAATAACTGTAAAATAAAAATGAAGTATCTACATAACTAATTTAATATCTGTCAACTGTTGGCCAGGTGCGGTGGCTCACACCTATAATCCCAGCACTTTGGGAGGCTGAGGCAGGCGGATCATGAGGTTAGGAGCTCAAGACTAGCCTGGCCAACAAGGTGAAACCCTATCTCTATTAAAAATACAAAAAATTAGCCGGGCGTGGTGGTGCACCTGTCCCCAGCTACTCAGGAGGCTGAGACAGAAGAATCGCTTGAACCCAGGAGGCGGAGGTTACAGTGAGCCGAGATTGTGCCACTGTACTCCAGCCTGGGTGACAGAGTGAGACTCTGTCTCAAAAAAAAAAAAAAAAAAAATTTGTCAACTGCTTTACTAAACATCATTGTTTAGTATAGACTCCCCAAGCCATATGATCAGAAGAGGGAGAAAGATAACCAGCAAAAGGAAAGAAGAGAGATAAAAGGGTATTAAAAAAAAAAAAAAAAAAAAAATGTAGAGCTCTGAGCATGGGCATCAACAGAAGACTTTAAAAAGTAATAGATCAATATTTTGTGACAAATGGTTTCCATGTAAGACAATATGGTTCTTTAAGGGCAAATGCCAACATCAGACATGAGTGGTTTCTCTGGTGTTTCTTTCATAATAAAAACCCATACCTGGATTCAAAGTCTAAAGACATGGGTACTAAATCTCACCTCTGTAACATACAGCTAATGATTTAACCTTTGAAGTTCCTCATGGACACTGAAGTACCCAACCTCATGAAATAATGTATCTGTGTTCCAAGAGGAGCTGGTTTTAAGTGGGCTATGCAGATAAGCACAAGAGATATATGGAAGGTCACTCCTGTGGTCACACAACCAAAACCAGAGAATACCTCCTCCCTCCCCATCAAAAATCAGTGGCACTAAATAAAACTCTATCATCTCGGGGATGGCAGAAAATCCAAAGCATAACAAAACATGGATATCTTTTTTTTTTTGAGATGGAGTCTCACTGTGTTGCCAGGCTGGACTCAGCTCACTGCAACCTCCACCTCCTAGGTTCAAGGGATTCCCGTGCCTCAGGCTCCCGAGTAGCTGGGATTACAGGCACGTGCCACCACACCCACCTAATTTTTATATTTTTCACAGAGACAGGGTTTCACCATGTTGGCCAGGATGGTCTCAATCTCTTGACCTCGTGATCGACCCACCTTGGCCTTCCAAAGTGCTAAGATTACAGGCATGAGCCACCGTGCCCGGCCCAAAGAAAGCATGGATATCTTACCAGCCTGAAAGATGTAGGCTTAGAGTCAAGGCATGTTGAGTCACAGATAATGAAAAAAATGCAGTATTTCTTATAAACTTGTTTCTGGCCTGAGGTCTGTACCTGGTTGAAATCTATGCCAAATCACCGAAGAAACAGAAAATTGGCTCGGCAACATAGCAAGACTTCATCTCCACTGGGGGGAAAAGAAAAAATTAACCAGGTATAATGGTACATATCTGTGGTCCCAGCTACTTGGAGGCTGAGGTAGGAGGATTGCTTGAACCCAGGAGTTCGAGGTTGCAGTGAGCTATGATCATGCCACTGCACTTCAGCCTGGTCAACACAGAAAGACCATCTCTCAAAAAATAATAATAATAATAAATAGAAAGAAATAGAAAACAGTGACTGCAACTTCTCTCACCATTATAGAGTGTTCAAAGAGATTTTTATACCATACTTAAAAATTGTTGCTAACCTGAATGGGTAGACAATTCCTGTGCTGCCACAGAAGACATTACAGTAGAGGGACCTGCAGAGAGAGGTTAATATTTCCAGGGAAATGAGAGACAGGAAATATCCTGGCAAGTCCAAAAGACTTGTGGAAGACCTGAAGAGATTGACCTAAGGAGAAGGATAGTAGAAACACAACTGAAGGGGCCAACATCTTAGAATTCATCTAAAAACTGCAAGTAATCACACAAGTAGGATGTTCTACCAATATTTAATATTCTGTGAATATTTTAATAAAACAGATACAAAATAAACAAAATTTCAAACATGAATGAGAAAATACCCATTCTCATGTGGGTTGCCAGTACATGACAGGTGGTTGCCAATACTTCTATAGGCAACTACATGTCTACTTGTGTTTTCTGTGGTTTTTTTTTTTTGAGATGGAGTGTCACTCACATTGCCCAGGCTGGAGGTGCAATGGCGCAATCTCAGCTCACTGCAACCTCCGCCTCTTGCGTTCAAGCGATTCTGCTGCCTCAGCCTCCCGAGTAGCTGAGATTACAGGCATGTGCCACCACACCCACTAATTTTGTATTTTTAGTAGAGACGGGGTTTCTCCATGTTGGTCAGCCTTGCCACCACGCCCGCTAATTTTGTGTTTTTAGTAGAGATGGAGTTTCTCCATGTTGGTCAGGCTGGTCTCGAACTCCTGACCTCAGGTAGTCTGCCTGCCTCGGCCTCCCAAAGTGCTGGCATTACAGGCATGAGCCACCGTGTCCGACATACATGTCTACTTTTAAGGAATGGCAGAGCTTTCTATGTGAATCTGCTGTGGTCTGAATGCTGGTATTCCCCCAAATTTCATATGTTGTAAGCTAACCCCCAGTGCAATAATAGTATGAAGAGGTGAGGCATTTAGGAAGTGATAAGTAAGTCATGAAGGCTCTGCCCTCATGGATGAGATTAGTGTCTTTATAAAGAGAGTGAAGGGAGCTGCCCTGCTCCTTCCTCTGTGTGAGGACACAGTATTCATCCCTCTGCTATGTAAGGACACAGCAAAAAACAGAGGACAGGCCCTTACCAGACATCAAATATGCTGGTGTCTTAATCTTAGACTTCCCAGCTTCCAGAACTGTGAACAGTAAATATCTACTGTTGTTGTTGGCCAGGCACAGTGGCTTACGCCTGTAATCCCAGCACTTTGGGAGGCCGAGGCGGGTGGATCACCTGATGTCAGGAGATGGAGACCATCCTGGCTAACACGGTGAAACCCCGTCTCTACTAAAAATACAAAAAAAAATTAGCCGAGCGTGGTGGCGGGTGCCTGTAGTCCCAGCTACTCGGGAGGCTGAGGCAGGAGAATGGTGTGAACCCAGGAGGCGGAGGTTACAGTGAGCCGAGATGGGGCCACTGCACTCCAGCCTGGGCAACAGAGTGACACTCCGTCTCAAATAAATAAATAAATATCTACTGTTGTTCTTTAAAAAAAAAAAAAAAAAAGTTTCCAGTTCTGTAAGCCACAATTTTTTTTAAGAGACAGGGTCTTGCTATATTGTCCAGGCTGGTCCTGGACTCAAACTATCCTCCCACCTTGGCCTTCCAAAGGGCTGGGATTATAGGCTTGAGCCATTGTGCCCAACCTATAAAATTTGAGTATCACCTGCCCTATTTTACAGGGGTCTGAAACCAGAAGGTCAATATGCATTTTCAGCTGTGAAATATAGAAAGGTCTATACAAATATATTTTAAACATGCTATCACTAAAACCTCAGAATCTTTTCATAAGCCACTGTATACTAATTTCCTATTCCTTTAAGAAAAATGCCTGAATCTGAACAGAGCTCCCTAAAGCATGCCTATGATTAAATGACAATTATACTTTATAGCCATCTCTTCTTCAGCTTATGCTTAATATGAAGTATTGCTAGTATTTTCACATTGAGTAAAAGGCTGTTTAATTAACTATAAGCAGAAAAATCTGAAGCACATAACCAGTAGTCACATGTAGAATATAGTTAGCCTCTTTCTGAACCATCCTACAACATAAATTAAGAAAGTGTTTTATAAAATGAACACCAGGCCAGGCGCGGTAGCTCAAGCCTGTAATCCCAGCACTTTGGGAGGCCAAGACGGGTGGATCACGAGGTCAGGCGATCGAGACCATCCTGGCTAACATGGTGAAATCCCGTCTCTACTAAAATAAATACAAAAAACTAGCTGGGCGAGGTGGCGGGCGCCTGTAGTCCCAGTTACTCGGGAGGCTGAGGCAGGAGAATGGCGTAAACCCGGGAAGGCGGAGCTTGCAGTGAGCTGAGATCCGGCCACTGCACTCCAGCCTGGGCAACAGAGCGAGACTCTGTCTCAAAAAAATAAATAAATAAAATAAAATGAACACCTGAGTGTAATTAAATTACACAAAAAATAAGCCAGAAAGCATTTTATAAGGAATGCCAAATTCTATAACCCAGTTACAAATATTTTATTTTAGTTGGGGCATCATTTCACTTGTAGCTTTGGATTCTTTCATTCTCTTATTTATAGGTGGTACCAGAAAATCTCTCATTAACATATATATACAAATTTTTTTTCGTGCTAAAGGGCCAAAAAGAGGTAATCTAAAAATAATAAACAAAGATTCAGATATAACCAATTTTCAAAATTAAGCAAAGCTATTCCTCCTCACTTTTCCAAAAACATATGTCAACAAGAAAGAAAATATTCAATTTTCCCATATTTTATCCTACTTATTTAAAAGTTCCCATTCTCTATATGCACATTGTTTTTAATAAATAATTAAACAGTCAAAAAATAAGCTTCTAAAAATGACTAAAGAGGACCAAAATTAGCTCCTAAGAAAGATTTTTTTTAATTATAAAATTGGGGCTTGGTTGAACATGCCTTATAGATAAAGTTGAAATTTTTGGCCATGTTCCTAACGTTATGAGCATTTAAGGACTTGGAAGCATCTGCCCACCTCTAGGACTTTAGTGTTCAAAATTCTATGCTTCTTTTGTTGCAGTTTCCCAAATTCCACAAATCTGTTCCACTCCTCTGTTTGGGTATTGAACGTTTACTGTAAACCAATGGTTGTCTGTGTCTACTACAGGAAGCAGTCTAGGTTGAAGTTCAAAGGCTTTTTATTCTAGTAAAAGCCACCTCTGCTTTACATTATGAATTCTGTAAGGTCAGTTTACTTTACATGAGGATTAGCCATGTGTCTCTTATCTTCAAGGCGATTTGACTAATTTCATAAAATATCTTGTATATAGCATGTACTTAAAAATTTGAATGTTTTATATTAGAAAAATTAAATTCATGGTTCAGTTTTTTGACAAAAACATGAACCACAATATTAAGTAAACAAATTATATCACAAATACAGCAATGCTCTTGGCATTCTTCATGTTACTTTAAACACAGTGGCAATATAAGTCTACATAATGCTTTTGGAAACAATGTCCCAAGAAAGGAGACACGCATAATGTATGGATAACAACTGCACCTTAGAAACTTTAGAAGCCTTCATTCCAATATTCCAAACATTTAAAGGCTCAAATCCTAACTCTATAAAATTCTTAGCTCCATGATTTAAAGCAAGCTGTAAATTATTAAAACAGAAGTACTTCTAAGCACAAATCACGTTATTTTATTGGTAAAAATTAGCAATAAATAATTTTATTTTGAGAAAAGGTCAAGATTAATACTCCCCAACTTTTAAAAACCTAACATGAATAATATTCTAATGAGGAAGACATCTGAAACTGGATTTATAAATAATGAAATCCTAGTCTTTTTTTAGTACACTCACATCCTTACTTGAGTTGAGTATCTCGGTCCAAAGCTCTAGCGACGACTCTGGATTATCACAATTACCTCTTAACTAGGCTCCTTGCCTACAGTCTCAACCCTCTCCACCAGCCACTAAAGTGACTTTGAAACACAAACTCGATCAAGACACTCTACACAGAACATTTTTCAGCAGCACTCTTATTTTCCATAACAACAACAAAAAAGTCAAAGTCCATTTGTATTGCATGCATAGTACCTCATGATCTGGCCCCTATTTGATTCTCTAGACTCAATTCTCCTTTACTACCTCTGATTGCCTACCTGTATCCCCAAAATGCAAACACTTTTCCTCCTTTAAGATTTAATTCTCCAGACACTATTTCTCATCATCAACCACCATCCATTCTTCCCTTCTCTCCTCAACACATTTTTTCTTTTTTGAGACAGGGTCTCACTCTGTCACCCAGGCTGGAGTGCAGTGGCACAATTACAGCACACTGCAGCCTCAACTGTCTGGGCCAAATCAATTCTCCCACCTCTGCCTCCCAAGTAACTGGGACTACAGGTGCACACCACCATTTTTAATTTTTTGTAGAAACGGGGTTTCACCATGTTGCCCAGACTGGTCTCAAACTCTTAGGCTCAAGTAATCTGCCCGCCTCAGCCTCCCAAAGTGCTGGGACTACAGATGTGGCCACTGCACCTGGCCAACACTTATCTTAAACTGGCACTCCTTTTGTGGCTAGATGCCTCTCCCCATTTTTCTTGCATTTTACCCCAGCCAATCTGCCTTACTGAACAACTATTAGACCTTCAAGATAGCTTAAGATATAGAAAAAACTTTATCTGAAAAGCGGGCCTGGGAAATGGTATGAAAGTGGGAATGGTGGTGGGTAGAAAAATGAAAGATTTGTACTTTCAGTAGTATTTTTCCACAAATTTGAATTTTTCCATTTTATGATTTTTAAATCTAGTTTCTAAAAATCTAAACACTTCATCTTCTCTAAGATGTATTCTAAGGTCCTACAGTAAGGCCAGGAATGAAAATAAGTTTCAACTCACATGCCTATTGTATAATAAAGAATGTATATCTGGTCTTTGTACCAGTTTTCTGGCACATAGCTTCAAAAACCCTTGAGATTTTCTGAGTGATATTCAGAATGTCTTCTGTTATTTATAATAAGCCCTATGGATTACATCAGAGTCTATGCAAATGAAGTGACTCAAGGTAAGCCCTTAGTTTCAACAGACGGTTGCTCCTATCAGAAAGATCAAGCATTGGCCAGGTGTAGTGGCTCACACCTATAATCCCAGCACTTTGGGAGGCCAAGGCAGGTGGATCATGAGGTCAAGAGATCGAGATCATACTGGCCAACATGGTGAAACCATGTCTCTACTAAAAACACAAAAATTAGCCAGGCATGGTGGTACATGCCTGTAGTCCCAGCTACTCAGGAGGCTGAGGCAGGAGAATTGCTTGAACCTAGGAGGTGGACATTATAGTGAGCCAAGATCGTGCCACTGCACAGCCTGGTGACACAGCAACACTTCATCTCAAAAAAAAAAAAAGAAAGACCAAGCATTAATTAGAGGGCTGGAATTTTCAGCCTCACCACTGCTTATACTCCTAGGAAGAGGGAGATTGAGCTCAATCACATAATCAATTATGTAATGAGACTCCAGTAAAACTCTGGACACCCAAAACTTGAACAGTTTCCTGATTAGTGAATACACTGATGTTCAGGAAGGGCAACACACCTTGACTCCATGGGGAGAGGGTGTGGAAGCTCTGCCTCCAGACCCTTCCACACCTTGTCCTATGTGTATTCATTACGATAAAGTCGTAATCATAAGTATAGTGCTTTCAGTGCTCTGAAAATTTGTTGTTATGGAAAACAACAAATTCAGGGTGTGAGAACCCTGAATTTATAGCCAGTTGGTCTGAAGTGTGGGTGATCCCCAAGACTTATAGTGGCTGATGTCTGAAGTGAAGGCAGTCTTACGGAGGACTGTGCCCTTAACTTGTGGGATCTGGTAGGTAGTGTCAGAAATGAAGTGTGTTGCAGGACACCAGTTGGTAGTGTCTTAGAAAAGCAGAGTTTTCTAGAAGCCAGGTCTAGCATCATCAAGAAAGACTACTGTCATCAATTAGCTATGTCTCTATGAGAATAGGGTTATTCATGAGTATCAAGAGGGTAACATTATTGCCATCCTTCTAGTATGTCATCAATGAAATCTTTGTGCCAAAAATGAAAAACTCATCCAAGGGTAACAAAATAGTGTTTCTACATACCTGGTAGGCAGCTTTTCAAAGTCAACGTCTAAAAATTGTTCATAGCTAGAAACAAAAGTGTCCAACCATAGCTTCAGGTAATCTGGATCTTTCTGAAATAACAAAATCATCATAATATTAAGTATGCCTATGAGAGGAAAAAAATGCTTCCACACCTATTAAGCAGACACCTAAAGAATCAATACTATGAAATCTCTAAGTGATATTCAGGAGTACATATGTGCTGTTTTAAAATGTATATTAAGTATATGGAACTCTCAAATGGCTTCTCATGTCACTCAAAGAGCTAAAATCTTAACAATGTCCTATAAAAGTTTAAACAATTTGCCCTCCCATATCCCTGTAACCTTGTCATTGTTATCCAGTACTAACTGGCCTTCTGGCTGTTTCCTGGGACATGCCAGACATGCTCCCACCCTAAGGACTTTGCACTGGCTGTTTTCTCTACCCAGAACACTCTTCTCCCAGGTATCTGAATGGCTACTCCCTCATCTTCAAGTCTTTTTTTTTTTTTTTGGACAACTGAACATTTATTTGTGTGCCTTTCTTCTTATGTGTATTTCAAGTCTTTTCAAAACAAGGCCCCCGGACTCTCCAGATTAAATTATGTCCCTGGGCTTGGTCCATTGCTGCAGGAGTCTTAGGGAGCCTTGTACAAATGCTTGAGTTACTCATTTACCAACATTAAACCCTAGGATAGAAAATGCAACAAAGCAGGACTCCTTCTTTCATGGCATGTGCTGATTTCTGACGAGGCGGCAGCCAATATAGAAAACACTGGAATTTTTCTTTAGAACTGGACTGTGATGAGAGGTGCTTGCCATGAACATAAGCTACGGTATTTTCTTTGACTCTTCGTTTCTAATTTTTGAAGATAAGGCAAGGAATAATCTTCTCTAAAGATACCTGATAATAATTCCCCCAAAAGCAAAAACACATGCTTCCACTGCATCGTGCTTTCAAATATTCTGGGTCTTGTTCAGCTGGCAGATGAGCTGACTGATGCATTCACCCTGATAGCCATGTGAGCTCATCTCCTGGAGGAAGCCCACTATATTTTTGGTATATAGTGGACGTATATAGCCAAGATCACACTATCGCACTTCAGCCTGAGCATGACGGGTCACCAAAAGGTGGAAAGGGCGCAAGAACCATGAGATCTCCTAGAAATACTTCACTGGGAAGGCAATTTCATGAATGAGGTCTTCCAAGCAAATGACACCAAACTTCTCCAGGTGCTCCTCAATAACTGCGTTGTCTGTCAGAGGGATGGTCTTATTCTTTACCTTAGCTTGTCCATCTTTCAAAGTGAGTTCCCACAAAGACTTCAGATTTAGAAATCCCCAGGTCACATAAGTTTCCAATATAAGCAGCATTTTTAGGTTCTGGGGGTTGACTTAATTTACAAAAACACCACTAAAAATTTTCTTCAGGCAAAGTCTTACAATAGTTCTCTCCATCAGTAAACTCATACCATTAATCCTTTTGATGTGCACAACAAAGGCCATGGAATGTTTATCTGGCAATTCCAAGGCATGAGGTCTCATTTCTAGTCATCTGAGATGCACCTTGTCACATTTCTGCCTTCAGGAATCATGTAGGAATGATTCCAGTCACTTAAATGTGAGCCTTTTTCCCTTCCTCTGCTCCTTCTTTGCCAAAAGGGCCTGCTTTGCCTGAGTGGCTTTGAGGGCTTGAAAAACCTTCCTATTTTTCAGGAGATTTTCTGGACCCAAAGGGATTTTTCTTTGCTCTTGCTCTGCCATCTTCCTAGTGTTGCAGCTCCTGATCATGCACAACCCCACCCCAAGTCATTTTTTAAATGACATATTCTCATTGAGGCCTATTTTTACTTCTTCTTAAAACCAGAAACCTCACCACCCCCTTACTTTACCTTATCATGTTCCCTCCACCATGGTCCTTTATCAACTTTCATCATGCTCTATAATTTACTTATCAGTTTATTTTTTGTCACTTCCCCAGAATATATGATTCACAAGTGCAGAGATTTTCATTTTTTTGTTTACTGAACACCAGTACCTTAAATAGTGGCAGGTACTGAGACTGTGCTCAATAAATATTTGTTCCATGAATTAAGAGTAAGTGTAACATGCATAAATGAAATCAAATTGGAAATGGATCATTAACATAAACATAAAAACTGAAACCAAAATTTTCTAGAAGAAAATACACCAGGCACAGTGGCTCACGCCAGTAATCCCAGAACTTTGGGAACCCGAGGCAGGTGGATCACCTGAGGTCAGTGGTTTGAGACCAGCCTGGCCAACATGGTGAAACCCTATCTCTACTAAAAATACAAAAATTAGCCAGGTGTAGTGGTGCAAGTCTGTAGTCCCAGCTACTCAGGGTGCTGAGGCATGAGAATTGCTTGAACCCAGGAGGCGGAGGTTGCAGTGAACCAAGATCGCGCTACTGCACTCCAGCCTGAGCAACAAAGCGAGACTGTCTCAAAAGAAAAGAAAAGAAAAGAAAAGAAAAGAAAAGAAAAGAAAAAAGAAAAGAAAAGAAAAGAAAAGAATAGAAAAGAAAAGAAAAGAAAAGAAAAGAAAAGAAAAGAAAAGAAAAGAAAAGAAAAGAAAAGGAAAGACAAGACAAGACTGAATAACTTTGCTACCTGGGGATAAACAGAGGTTTCTTAGCTAGGGCAAAAAAACCATAAACTGAAAAAGAAAAAAAAGATAACTGGTATTAATCAAAACTTAAAACTTCTACTCATCAAAAGACACTATTAAGAAAATGGAGGCTGGGTGCAGTGGCTCACAACTGTAACCCCCACACTTTGGGAAGCTGATGTGAGAGAATCGCTTGAGCCCAGGAATTCGAAACCAGCCTAAGCAACATAGTGAGATTCCATCTCTTCAAAAAATAGAAAAAAATTAGCTGGGTGTGGTTGCGCATGCCAGTAGTCCCTATTACTCAGGAGGGTGAGGTTGGAGGAATTCCTGAGCACAGGAAGTCAAGACTGCAGTGCGCTGTGATCATGCCACTGAGTGACACGTGCCATTAGTAAACAAAAAGATTAAAATCTCTGCACTTGTGAAACTTATATTCTGGTGACAGAGTGAGACTCTAAAGAAAAAAGAAAATGGAAAGACAAACCATACTGGCTGAAAATATTCTCAGGGACTTGTATGAAAAACATAAAGATCTCCTACAAATCAATAACAAAAAGACAACTCGATTTAAAAATGGGCAAAAAGCTTGGACACTTCACAAAAAGGAATACACAAACGGCCAAACGGCATCCTAATCTGTGACCAATATCATTAGTTATCCAGATAAATGCAAATTAATACCAAGTAAGATACTATTATATACCCACCAGAATGGCTAAAATTAGAAAAACTATATCACGTTAGTGAAGACGTGCAGTAACGGTAACTCTCATACATAACTGGTGGCAGTATGAAACAGGATCACCACTTAGAAAAGTTTAAGTTAAATATACACATATCAAACAGCCCAGCCATTCCTCTCCCAGATAAATGAATACAAATATCCACAAAAACACTTGTACAAAAATGTTTATGGAAACTTTGTTTATAACAGCCCAAAGCCGAAAACAAAACTTCTATCAAGTTAACAGATAAACAAATTGTTATATATTCATACAACGGAATATTATTCCAGGAATAAAAATGAACTATTGATACTCACAATGACAAAAAATTTTTTCAAAAATCTATTGAGCAAAAGATGTTACGCATCAAAGCACGTATCACTTATTTATTTATTCATGTATTTATTATTTATTTATTTATGAGACAGGTTCTCACTCTGTTACCCCGGCCAGAGTGCAGTGGCATAATCACGGTTCACTACGGCCTCAAACTCCTGAGCCCAAGGAATCCTCCTGCCTCAGCACTCCAAGTAGCTGGGATTATAGCTATCATGTCTGGTTAATTTTTGTATTTTTTGTGGAGACTGGGTCTTGTTACAGTCTCAAACTCCCGGCCTCAAGTGATCCTCCCACCTTGGCTTCCCAAAGTGCTGAGATTATAGGTATGAGCCACCTCGACCAGCCTGATATCACTTATATGTAGTTCTAGAGCAGTCTATGGTGACAGAAATTAGACAACATGGCTGCCTCTGGGAGGACTGACTGCAAAGCGGCACAGAGGGAACTTTCTTGGGTGATAGAAATTTTACATTTCTTGGCTAAAGTAGTGTTTATACAAATGTTTGCATGTATCAAAATTCATCACATTTGACACTTAAAATCTGTGCATTTTTATGCTTTGTGACATTTCAATAAAGCTGAGTTGAAAAAAAAAAACTATGATCCCGAGGGTGGTTCCAAGATGGCTGAATAGGAACAGCTCCAGGCTACAGCTCCCAGCATATGCGATGCAGAAGTCAGGTGATTTCTGCATTTCCAACTGAGGTACTGGGTTCATCTCACTGGGGCTTGTTGGACAGTGGGGGCAAGACAGTGGGTGCAGCCCACCGAGCGTGAGCTGAAGCATCGTGTCACTTGGGAAGCGCAAGGGGTCAGGGAATTCCCTTTCCTAGCCAAGGGAAGCAGTGACACAGGGCACCTGGAAAATAGGATCACTCCCACCCTAATACTGCACTTTACCAACAGTCTTAGCAAACGACACACCAGGAGATTATATCCCGCATCGGGCTCAGAGGGTTCCTTGCCCACGGAGCCCTGCTCATTGCTAGCACAGCAGTCAGAGATCTAACTGCAGCAGCAGCAAGCCTGGGGGAGGGGTGCCCGCCACTGCTGAGGCTTAAGTAGGTAAACAAAGCCTCTGGGAAGCACGAACTGGGTGGAGCCCACCGCAGCTCAAGGAGGCCTGCCTGCCTCTGTAGATTCCACCTCTAGGGGTAGGGCATAGCTGAACAAAAGGCAGCAGAAACCTCTGCAGACTTAAATGTCCCTATCTGACAGCTTTGAAGAGAGTAGTGGTTCTCCCTGCACAGAGTTTGAGATCTGAGAACGGATGGACTGCCTCCTCAAGTTGGTCCCTGACCCCCGAGTAGCCTAATTGGGAGGCATCCCCCAGTAGGGGCAGACTGACACCTCACATGTCCAAGTACCCCTCTGAGAGGAAGCTTCCAGAGG